CTCCCTTCGATTTCCTCAGTTGTCTCACCGAGGTCTCTTCTGATCAACCTTTTCGTTGACCACTTCTAGTTTCGAATTCATTTCAAATGAAACAAATATTTTTAAATGTCGTTAAAGAGGCCCCAAATGTCGTCTCATCAACACAGTTTTCCCGCATTAGAATCGAACAGTGCCCCTCATAACCTCTGAACTGATGGCAATACGAACGAGAAAGAAGAATCGAGGCCGAATGCAACCAAAGTCAGAGAACACGTTGCGTCCTAATAAGCTAAAAATTGCTGGAATACTCGATCGAGGTTGTTCAGCAAGCCGAAGACTGCTCAGAAACATCAAAATTGACAAAAAATTTTCTAATTTTGATCACAAATGCCATCAAACCAATCAATGACTGCAAACACTATTAAGTTTTTGCTAAAATTTTCATTTGTGTGTTAAATTTTCGAAAACAAGAGCTTTGTAAACGCCGATTCTATTGTAGAATTATCAGCGATGAATATTTCTGTGCGATCATTTTTAAAATTGACCAATTATATAATGGTGCAACGATTATTTTAAAAATTCACGTACTGAACATTATTTTATTCACATATTGAATCACTTCTGTACCGATATCGAAATTTACATAATACAATATTGTAATATGATACTCTTTCGTACAGCAGTTGCACGAAAGAGCTCACAAATCACTCGAGATTTTTTTGATGTTCAGAAGAGAGTGCCCCCGTGATGGATGGTTTTCGATGCTTTCATCGAATACAATCACATCGATCATTCATTTTGTCCAGCAAATAATTGAAAAACTTTTTTAAGTGGTAAGGCTGAAAAGGCAGAGTAAATAACAAAATTCCTTATAGATAACAGGGACTGAAGCAGAGAATGTAAGTAATTGGTCACTCCAAATTCACTTTCAAAGTTCAAAGGAGATTGTTTAACACAGAGAATGTGTAAGGGTTGTAATTAGTGATCATTGACAAAAATAATCAACAAATCAATGTCACTCGCCATCAGAGCTTCGTTTAATGATGCGTGCATGATCGGGTTGGAGCAATTGGGATCTTCTTTCAAGGGACATGGTAGAGTTCACCTCGAGAAAGGAATTTGGTAGTGATCAATTTTCTTGTAATTTCTGCAGCTAGGCTGTGGAACAATTTTCAATCTAAAGGTGGCTAGGACAGCATCTTTTTGGCGGATTGGCTCTCTTCAGAGCCACCCAAAATCTAAAATTAGGTTTAATCTGCCCTCTCTTCACAACATTTTTCGTTGATCAACGACGTCTTGCAATCGTAAAAGTGATATATTTGTCCCATTAAAACTGTTGTCTTCCTTTCTTCTTTTCATGAAGCGGACAGAACAGTTGCAAAAAAATGAAATTGCAGAAGAGGATGGAACACTCTCGAAATGTTACGGTGTGGACCGAGAAAGGACAGGACAATTTGTCAAAAGCTTGGAACTAAACCATCAATATTCGCAATCGCCCACACGTGATACTCAGTCGCTCGATTTTTAGACAAGATTTTTGTTATTTTGCAGAGAGCAGTTGTTTTTTGTAAACGTCAAACAAAAAAAATATTGCACAACTTGAAAGATTGTGTTTTGAGGTTTAGAATTTGGTCATTTTACAGTTATTGGATGCGGTGCAAATAAGATCTTGTTGAAGACATCAATGACATCGAAGAAAGTTGTCTGTAAACGTTGTTTCAAATGGATTAATGCTCAGGATTCGGTAAGCATTAATTCACTGTTCACATAAGTGCCCTAACTAAGAATGTTCATATAAGTGCCCTTAAGTGCTCAATGAACATCAGTGACACATCTGCAATGTGCCAATGAAGATGCATTGCTGCCAGAAAAGTGCATCTGATGCACTCGTCTTTCCACCTCAATTCCTTTTTCCGTGCAACTGACATTCAACAAGATATATCACCACCATCTGTGGTGGTGATATATCTTGTTGCTTGTCAGTGCTCGTTCGAACAACACGTTCTTATAATAGCGCATTTTGCCGACAACGAAAACCGAACGATCGTGAATACATATCACCATACTGCCTGTTTATTTGCATAATGAACGTGGCACAAGCAACAACTGCATTCCAACCTGCTAACATAATCGTGTACTCTATTATGACGTTATGTTCGAATGCACTTTCAGAGTGTAATTCCATTCTTCGCTTTGGAATCGAATAAATTACAAACATGTCTTATGGGTGACTTATCAAGATCTTATGGGTGACTTGTCAAAATCAATCTTTCACGCCATCTTCAATAACTAGTTGTTTGCTGATTTTTACCAACGCTTACATTCATTTGATGATTCTGATGGAAGTGTTTTTGATTGCATTCCATAAGTTGAGCAACTGAAATCCTCACTGAGATAAGACTCACGTTCATTATTCCGACCTGATGAGTTCGATGAAAGTTGATTCGAATTTTTCTGCGAAGAGCAGACTGCTTCTAGACATATGAGTGCTTGGTCTTAGCTCACGCCAGTGCCTGGAAGCAGCTTGAAAAGTTTGTCTGCGTTGCTTTCATAATATTTAAGTGTTTGTTGAAACTCAATTTGCAGTGGGTGGAGTGTTGGAAATGCGGTTTGATCAGTGGCATCGCTTTGTAGATGGCTGCGATATTGCCAGGGAGAGTTGTGACTTCATCTTAATTAACTCCTTTTGCAGTGGCATCCAGTAAGGAATCGTTTCATTACAGCGCTAACAGAATTGTTCATATATCCTTTTCAGAATACTCCTGCTCACGAAATACTCAGTCATATTTTTGAAACGTTTTCTTTTCTGACATTTACGTTTCTTTTTCATATCTTAGCCAGCTACTTCACATGAACAGTTTATTCTGTCTTCTCGGTCAGCTTTTCCGCTTAAAGGCTAGGCAATTTTTCTTGCAAATAGGTACGTGATCAGTACCTAATAATACAGCTCAGATGCATGTGTTCCCTCAGTAAATCATTCAGTTGCTTTATTTATCGCACTTCTCACCTATTCATGGTGCCATTTTCCAGAATTTAACAACTGAAAACAAACAAAGAAGATGGTGTGCGTTATTCATGCACACTTGCAATGCACAACATCCGATTCATGCACACGTATCCAGGAACGTTCATCATAAGCGTTCCTCTACACTTTTCATCATCACTGAACACGCAAACTGCTTCTTAGTTCGTTTCCAAACTAACTCTGTTAAACAAGCATACGAAAGATCGCCCTACCTGCATGCAGCAACAATAGCAAATATAATCCGAGCATTTTAATAAATTCATTTTTCAATGAAACATAACTGCATTCGTTTCAAATTATCTTCATTAATTGCAGTATTTTCATGAATCACGGATGAGATTGTAAAATAGCGTTGAGATACGCATTTATGAACAATAATATCGTTTGAAGATCGAATGATTTGGTGTGTTACCTACGGTAAAGTCATAACTCCAACTGAGGATAAGTGGTACATACCGACCGATCGAAATTCTGATAAGTTCGACCGCGTAGATAGTTTATGTGTGCTCAACGCTCTTCCACGATAAATTCTCATCGTCCATTTCAGCATGTGATTGGAATCCACCAATGCTGTTTCCTGATTGCTCACTTTAGTCACACATTATTTATTTTACAAGCATTTGAAGGAGCGAAAATGTTTGTTGACTCCAGTCGCGAGTTGATTTGATAATCGTTCGATGAATAGAATCGCTCGAAAATTGAGCAATTCAAATATGTCAGCATGAATTATGTGTGTCTGCGGTTAACGAACAGTAGCGAAAGCAGATGAACAAAAAATGATAGGTTAAGATGCGTGATTGATTGCGGTCATTTTGGCTTCTTTATGAATGAATGCCTGAATGAAGACAATTTGATTGATGCGAACGATACACCTCTCTAGGCTGAAAAACGTTGAATCTATTTCAATCAGGATGATTCATTTCGTGACATTATCAAGTGCTCTTTTCTTTGTTGGAGCGCATCGTCTCCGATAGAAGCCAGTTTATAGGCTCATGAATTCGCGACTGCGGTGTTTCGAGAAATGATCTTGTTATCGAATGTGCTTACGATTAGGTATTCACGCTCTTGCTTGCGATCAGTATATCGGCTCGATCCTCTTCAATGAGATGGAGATCGATTCGCTGAGATGCTTCTCTTGAAAACTTGCTTTGAGGTATAGCATCAAGGCTTTCTCGCTAAGCAAGCTGTTTACTCTAAGCGAATGTGTTCTTAGGTAATGCAAGCTATGAATTATTCATGACCCCAAAGTTCCACGATCCACATTCAGTATGTGCTATGGAGTTTCAGATATACAAGCTTCCGTATGCTGCACAATTCGAACGTTTGCCGAATATCCTAGACAGTGATTCTCATAGGGGTGAAATCACCCATTTTGGGTAATTCGGAGGTGTGTAAGGGTAATGGATGGGTCGGGAAATTAGTATTTCGTGCTGTTGTTATTTTATGATAGAACGCCATTGTGATGGTGTTTTTTAACTCGGATATGTAAATGCGATTAATTGATGGCAATATTCTCCTAATTTCTGAGTATGATTAGCTCATAAGGGCCTAACAGGATTTTCATTCGTTTTAACAGGGTTTTCGTTCCTTTCCTTGTTGTTGTAATCGCTCTCATTACTTTTATCACTAAAATTGTTCTCTTCTGCTAATTTCTCATTCATTTCACTCAATAATTAAAATCGAACTCTCATTCTATCAAATACACTCTATTATTGATCGTTTGGCTATCGAACGTTATCAATTCGATTGTTATATTGTTCATTTCGGCTGTCAACACTCGTCAACGTATACAGTAAATAGTATATGCTACAGAATAAGAAATTGATTCTAACTGTGAAATGAAACAAGACTGAAGTGAATCTGAAAAACTCATTAAGAGAACAATATTTACAGGTAATAGCTATGAGAGTGAATAGAACACGTCTGAAAAGAATAAGAATTCATCTAAATCATACGTAGAAATAGTAAGTCTTGTATCAGCGGGTGTAACGGCGTCCTATCGGGTCATCAAAAGGGGTAATGAAGTACCCGAACGTGAGGACCACTGTCCCATGATATGATGATTCTCACACCATTTCTTCACCGCGCTCTCCCCTCCCTTAGCCGCTTGGCAGAGCATCATTTCCCTTCCTTCCAACAGTTTAAGTGGCCCCAATTCCACCTCCACTCCCTCTTGTGACAACTTATCACCTTTTAGCGACAGATCAAGAAGTTCGTGCATAGATCAGAAAATTTGCTGTCAGAAGTTCAGCGGTTTTACCAAAGGATAAAACAAGACAACATTGCATAACTATGCAAAAATTACGCAAAAAAAAAACAAATCCATAATCATCCCTTAACATTCTAAATTCTCCCAAGCACTCTAGCATTCACCATCGGGGAAATTCTCACCCAGCCCACCGTTAGAATCAATGATCTGTACCATTACTTAAGGATCGGTTGCCACAATCACTTACAGTAAGTTGTTTCTTTTTGATTTTTTATTTAACCATTCAATCAGATCATCACATATCCGCTCACAAAAAATTTTCATCTGTTGGTGACGACTAACTGAAGACAAACCAATTATAGTGAATCGAAGAAACCCTTGAGCAAGGGATTCGCCCAGGAGAAAACGCCCATGCATTAGCGTATCAACAACAACCTAAAGATAATAATTGAACTTTAAACGTTGAGAGCATTGTGTGAGTGACGTAAAATCGATATGAACATGAGGATGAGTGCAGTTCCTTTCGTAAAGTCGATTAACATTTTAAATTCGAAAGACATCGTTGAGTGAATTTCAGTTTTCAATAACAACTATTTGATTCTGAGTGCTCGATGAAACGTTTTAGTGATGTTCTGCTCCCATTCTTCTTCAGTTTCCCCAGTTCTCTCATGCTGTCTTCAGTCTAATGGCCAGCTGATCTTGTCCTTTGGATGTTTCTCTTTTGTCTTATGAATATTTCTCGGATAATTTATTGACATTTCACCGAAACTTTGCGTGCTAACAAAAAACTCTTTTTTCTATAACAAATGTTATGTAATTTTATCGCCCTGCAGGGAACATCGGAACACAAATTGGCACAGAATCAGCTGACGTAATTGTGTTTTTATTATTTTGTAAGTTTGCAATGAGCAGAGGAGTTCCAAGTTCGAATGTCACTCATTAATGTATTTTGCGATAGTTGAATGCTTTACGTTGGCTGGTTTAGCCATTTGCACCTCAAGCTCCGTAATGGAAAAATCTCAGAGACCCACGAATTATCACTATCATTATCAAAGCGCTCAATCTAGAACCAGTCTGGAGTACATTGCATTGTGATGTGCGTTACTGATAACGTTGCCATTGGTTCGATATAAATCAGCGGTTCCTATGTTCTTATGCATTCCTTGCGCCCTCTAACCGTGTGGCAGACTGCGTTTCCACTCCCCATTGACGATCTATTACAACTCGGTGACATTTCAAGAAATTGGTCTCTTACTCTGAAGAAGTTTTGCTACTGAATCTAGTCTGTTACTACTGATACCATCAATAGTGATTGCTACTGCTAGAATTTGCTACTGCTACAAAAATTGATCTGATACCGTCAATAATCCATCCGTGATATCGTTGGATGAGTCAAACGATAATTTAGCTCTATTTAAGCCAAATTCTAAGCATAGGCCTCAGTCTGACTCTATGCTGAAACTCAAGCTTGAGTCTGAGTCTAGTTCAAGCGGGTAAGAGCAACTCACATTACGGGATTGTTCCCAATCGCAGTCTGTCGTTTCAAAAACCCAGTCAATCAAGTCGCCAATTTGATTATGCAAATAAGTTTGTTATCAAAAATGTTTTCTGATCGAACCATCAGTTCGTCGTCATTCCTTGACGAGTCTCTCAAACATTTCACTGCCTTAAACGAATTTGCAATTAACGATGTTCTTGATGCAACGCACACTTCTCGACTACTTATCTGAGGTACAACTGTGCTGGAATGGATAGGCTGGGGAATTTCCAGCAATTCAACTCAGTTCTGAAGATATTTACAGATATCTTCGAAGTACTTCCTGTCCCTAACCATCATCAGTCCACGTTAATGAGGTCTTTCGTTACTCGTAAGCTCGTGTTTCTTGCTCGAAAACGTTTTTCTCATTTGTCTTTGAATTACGTCACTTTAACGTAACTTTCCAATCCGCACCTAGTCATTCGCTCTTCTCCTCAAGAGTTCGCTAATATATGTATCATGCATGCAATTACAACAACGATAATAACAATAATTCAATTGATTGCAGGCAAAAAAAGTGAAACGAACTGCTGCTTATTCGCAACTGTTTATACTTCAGTTCAAATGCTCGCATTTTTAAGTTCAGTCTGCTGATCCACTTAACAATTTGCATAAGTTAGATTGATGGATGTTATTTGGTGGTCAATAATTCTCTGTTCTGCTTTCGAAAGATGTTTAATTTTTCAGCGACTAAACTCATCACTTTCAAACGATTTCAATTACACTAATGTCGAACGTAACGGGAGGAGTTCGGATCGTCTGATTACACCTAAGTGATAGTGATTTGATTAAGATATATTGATCAGTAATCAACTCTGCGAAGCGGATGCAATTCTTTATTTCATAAAATGGCGTTCAATTATGCTGCAAATCAGCTATCTTCATCGATCTCGACTTACAGCTCTCAAATGTACTCTTCAAAGACTAACATTCAAGCAGTTCCGAAAATTGCTTAGTTCTTAGGATTTGTTACGTGATACTTGTTCATCGTTAGAAAATTGTTTGCAATCTATTCATTTATTCTTTATGCATATCGATGGTTAGAATGAGCATTCGAGTCAGTGATGCGCTAAAGTAATTATAATTAGTTTGAGTTGCTTGTCTAGTATTGGAGCTTTTCTATGACTTCTTTGAGAAACAACGGAATATCTTGCCATTTCGTTCAGCAACTGAGGAGTGGTCGCGCTGCTTGTTGTACTCGCTTCACATGCCGTATTGTTGACTTCAGTGGAGTATGTCATCGGCGCATTTCGAGTTCACCCTTCCTCAGTGCCCACAGTAGTGCCTCTTTGGAATTCCCGATTAGGACACAATACCCTAATTTGTTAGGTAATACATATATTTCATACGGTACTTCAATAGTCCACAAATACCTTACATAGTCATAAATGTCATTTCGAATGTTTCGTTCTTAGAATTCAGTTTTCTCATTTTCAAAATGTCGTCGAATCCTTTAAACATATTGAATGCGTGGTGATTTTTTTAAATGCAATTTTTCGTTTGTTGAAGAAGATCGCTTTGAATGGTGGTTTTTGAACAGGTCTATTCATTTGTCATAAATCGAATTTGTTTTACTTCTTCTCAAAACAGCAAATCGAATCGAACAAGACGCAATTCCGAGCCGAAATCAACGAGGCAGTCAATGAGTGAATTATATGCTAACACTTATGGCGCTTACTGCATTAAATCACGTTATATTCACTTTAAAAACCAGATCCCTTCTGAATTTTCTCTGACAATTCCTTGTTCGTCTTTTTTTGAAACTAGCGCACTAAAGTGGTCGTCAGGTTTCTGAAAAAAAAGCTTCAGGCGCGTCACGGTTCTTCGATATTAAACGTGAACATTTCCAATGGTTTCAACGATTTACCTCATTCAAGTAAAATACATGTTGTAAGACTGCTTGTTATTTCACCTGGATTACCTGGATTGACCAGGCTATCAAACGTTTATAACGTTGCTGGCCACAATGCTCGCGTTTCCGTTCGCACTGTTTTAGCCTTGATTGACGCCACCCCGCTGGCTAGGCGAGCAGGCCAAGTGAGCACAACCGAGTATTTAATTAGTTGCCGTGAACAATTTGCACAATTAAACGTAGCCAAATATCAATCCGATAAATAATCATAACTCTACAATATAAACATTCCGCCGATCGCTAACAGCGATCAACAAAACAACCGCTCGATGTGTAAGTAACAAGTAATATTCTGACAACAGCTTAACAAGTAGCTTGTTATTTTGAAAATCATTATTAGATTAACAGCCATATGACTGATTGATGAGGGAGTTGTTGGAGGAGCTGTGTTCACTCGAAGTTACGAATTGCTTTTGATCGCAGAGATCATCTTCATAACTGCAAGCGCTGAATGCCATTTGCACTAGCATACGCGATTGTTGATAGTAAGACGTCGTTGTGATGAAATTTCTTAGACGGCTCGATTCGTCATTGCTTCACTGTACCAAGAAAGCAGTATACGCGTCAACGAGAATCTTAAAGCATTTTAATGACTCAAGTCTAGGGTTATTCAAACTTTGCTTTGGTTATTCCTTCGGTCATGTGTCATTTCTCAAATATCCTAATTGATCTGATGTTATTGCGGAGTTGAATGTGATGTACTGTTGGCTTGTGAAATATTGATATCATGTAGGTTTTCATTTATGTTCACTTTGGATGTTCCTGCGACCAACAACACGTTGGATCAGTTTTGCGATAAACATCTCAAATGGTGCCTTTCTGATGATGTATTCGACGGGAACTTCCTCAGATTCGTCCGAAAACGGTTGTATTACAAAATGTTGAAGCAAGCATTCTCTGATACATTCGCAGATCATTCGAATGACGATGCGAGAATCTGTGGCGTTTTTCTCGGCTCAAATAACGCCTTGATTGGAGTGTTAAGCTGAATGTGAGATAATTGCGGAGTTGATGCTCTACAAGAACAAGAATTTGAGACATCAGCCGATAGCCTACTGATGCATCGCGACATTCTGCTGTACTTCGACATCAGTTAACATCTTGCGTTCGTAAATGCCAATGGGTAATGAAAAATGTATGACTGTCGGTCAATTTTCATCTTTCCCGATGTCTGCTTTACACTCTCAGTCATTGCATTCACGGGAGTCGCCAACAATTTTCAACTTATTTCCACCTATTACGCATGATGCATCACTATCTCAAAAAACGAGTCGACTCATTCAGTGAACATATACTACTCGAAGTAAATTGTCCGCCTAAGCACGTCATGAACACAGCAGAGTTGAGCACTACCGTAGCGGCATCCAGTAATAAGTGCTGGATGACAACGACACATCTTTTTAGGTGTCATGAATGTTGCACCATTAATCTTTATGATTGATCTCTACTATGATAGACATCGTGCGATGACTTTCGATTTGAGGCACCGATGAGCTTGTAATCCTATGAAATATATCCTACGCATTTCTTTTCACTAGCCCTTTAGTTATCGTTTAGTGAAAC